AATTTTATGTTCGAATAAAATCCTTATTCGTAAATATCGAATAATTTATTCGAAATTTTATTCGAAATGTTATTCGAATAATGCCCACCTTTGATCCTATCCCCTTTGAACTTTTTCCAACTCGATTCGAAATCATTGGGCTACCCGAAATCATCGGGCTACCCGAAATCGTTGGGCTATCCGCCCGAGCCAGCTCGGCTTTGTGCGAGCCCGACCCGAACCCGAAATTTCGGATACCCGCACACCCCTATTTTAAACTTATAAAATATTAATATTAACATATATATCATTAAGTTACTCATATTTTTATTAATAATTTATAACAATAAATGATTTCGGTCGTCGAAAATGCAATTCAGTGAGTTCGTCTTAATAAATAACATCGTACTATAAAGAAGAAAATATGTTATCGTTTAAAAAAATAAATTTGACTTCGAAATTTCGAAAAAAAATTTTCCAAGAAATAATTTACAACATATAATGTGCTTCTATTCATAATAAATTATTTCGAGAAAAAATTTTCCAAGAAATAATTTACAACATATAATGCTTTTATTGCAAATAATATTTCTAGAAATATTTTATTGATAAGTTCAAACTTTAATAAAATCAAATTTACGGGATAAAGATAATTTATTCAAGCTGTGAATTTACACAATTAAAATACGTCATATCTAATTATGTTGTTCATGAAAATATCATATTTCAATCAACTTTTTCTAGTACTTTTAAATAGATGTTAATAATCAAATATATACTAAATATTTCATTTCAATTTTCACCAATCTCTATTTTTTAGAGTGTTAAATTCCTTCATTAATAAAGTGCCATCACGTTCAATTCAATAAATAATTCTCTAAAATAAATTTGGCAACACTGTCCATATTTTTTTATTTTCGTGGTGCAAAACTTGCCTGAATCTGTATGACAGAATGTGGCACAAAAATAGCCGAAAAAATATATGCAATGTCTATTCATACCACTTTGTCTGTGGTACTATTCAATCCAATTATTTTTTCCATTTACAGTTTCATATTGCATTCTTCTTTAACAATATGCGTTATGAAAAAGATATTTGCCTTTATTTAATTTCAAAAATATCTCAAAGATGTCAATAAAATAATAAAACTAGTTTTATTTGCGGAGTATAACTGTTGATGAAAAGAATTAAATGAATATAAGAATATGGTTAGAAAGAAATGTTTGGTCAGAGTACCACAAGGGTCGGCAATCAACGTCACCCTATTTCTAATAGGCATCAACGATATAATCAGAGATATAAAACCTTCAGTCCAAGGAAATCTGTTCACAGACAACCTTACCCTCACATGCAGTAGAAAAAACATAAACACGACAATCGAGCTACTACAAACAAGCCTGAACGAACTATTAATATAGTCAAAAAATTCAGGACCTAGATTTTCCCTCCACAATACTAAATTTATAGTCTTTTCCAAAAAACGAAAATTGCATCAAAATATACCGAAACTATATATGGAAAAAGTCGAGATAAACAGAGTCAACATAAAACTATTCGGACTAACCTTCGACCAAAAACTGACATGGCTTCCCCACTTAAAAACCCTCCAACAGGCATGTTCCCAACGAATCAACATCATAAAAGCCCTAGCCCACTACAGGAGCAGATCAAGAAATTCTCTTAAAATCACACCAAGCACTAATAAGAAGCAACCTGGACTATGGACCAATAGTATACAATTCAGCCAAACCTAACATGATCAAAATAATTGAACCCATCCAAAATACGGCACTCAGACTAACCACAGGAAGCTACCGCACAAGCCCAATAGCCGGCATACTATTTGAAGCCAAAGAAATGCACCTCGAACAGAGAAGGAAACTACTTAGCTTAAGATACGCAAGAAAAATAGCATCAACACCAAATAACCCAGCATACAACAATATATTTGCCGAAAGATTAACAAACCAACACAACAGAAATTCAAGACTCCCGGCATTCTACATCAGACTAAAAGGATACCCCAATATACGAGAAATTACTTCAACACCAATTATCGAACGCAACCACGAAAAAATAGCCCTATGGTCATTGAAAACACCTAAAACAAACACCGACCTGACTAATCACAAAAAAAAAAATGAAAAAAGCAACATAGAACATAAACAGGATTTTCAGAAATTAAACAACACCTACAAGAATTACCACAAAATTTACACAGACGCTTCCAACATTGAATCGAATTCGCAATCGTCACAGAAAACACCACTAAAAAACAACGACTCTCCAACCACACATCTATCGTGACCGCTAAAACATACGCTATACTAGAAGCACTACGGTACATCCAAGAAAACAAATATCGGCGGTAATCTATACAGATTGACTTGACTTCGATAAACGCGATAACAAACACCAATACCACCAAAAAGCACGAAGTCATACAAATGGTTCAGGAATCATACATCGAACTTACCAACGGCCATAAACAAATAATAATCACCTAGATCCCGTCACACCAAGGAATAGAAGGAAACGAGAAAGCCGACTCCTTAGGCAAAGAAGAGACCGAACAAACGAATCCAACATCCCAATCCCACACCAAGACCTACTTCAACGACCAAAGTGGAAAGAAAAGAATGGAACAGAATTTGGACTACGACAAATAGAACCAAAATACACTACAGCATTTCTACCAAAAAAATACCAAACAACAATATAAGCAGAAAAGAAAGGATAGCTATGACTAGACTTCGAATCGGACACTCCAAAATCACACACGAATACCTCCTAACCAAAGCAGAACCACCTTTCTGCAACACCTGCAAGCAACAAATTACCACCCAACACCTGCTACATGAATGCAGAAAATACGGAAACCTAAGAAGTAAATATGGATTAAACCCAAACACCGCTCTAACTAGCCAGAAATAACAAAAAAATGTTATCAACTATCTAAAGGAGACCCAACTGTTCGACCAGATATAAAGAGAAAGTTCCAGCACGAGGTCCCAAAGACCTCGTAGTCTATGCGACTCTAAACCCCCATATAAAAAAAAAAATGTTTGGCCTTGGTTGTCATAGATGAATTCTACATTTTCGGTTTGATGTAAAAGTGTAGAAACCTGCCGCAAAATTGATCTTAACCTTGAATTTCAAGATCAACATTATTTTTGTTTGCATTGTATTTTACTCAATATAAAGGTCAAACTTTTCCAAGAGACACTATGTCACAATCTAATCATTCTTTTGAAAAATGGTAAAAAAAGTTTGATGAAATCAACGGCTGACTAGCTAACAGCAAGTACAGCAGGGACCAGCGGGAGATTGCCGAATGTTTTAGTAATTCTTTGCGGTTCGCGCAGCTCTCGCTATTTTATTCAAGATCAATTTTGTTCCTTACATATTTTTCTATCAAATAAATGTAGAAATCACCTGATAGCCAAGCATTTTTTTCCATTCTGTATATAAATGTGTTCTTCTTTTTTTTGTAAAATGCTACATCTTTAATCCTTTTACGAACGAAATTTTTAATTATAAAATAAAGTAAATTAGTGTGATATGTTTTATATCTCTATACTAATTTTGTACATGTATATTATATTGATTATATTTAAGAAATGAAGTTATATTTTTCTAATACTTTTTTTATGTGCAAAACTTACTTTTTCTAGCAGATCAAAATTTATTTCTATTTTAAAAATACAACTTGTTCTAATTATATTAGAGTTTGTGTTATGTAAAATAAACATGTGGAAAGTTTCATTATTCGGTATTTCTTCCTGTGTAACCCAAGAGCGAGGTAATTATCGCCGGCTGCGTGCTCGATGCGATTGTCACAGCAAAAGAATACCAAACTTGGGACTGTTTGCCTAGTCACCCTAATCTTAAGACATAAAATACGAGTATCTTGTGTATGTTGTGCGTATGCGTGCATGCGTGTGTGTGTAAAATGCATATGAAAGTAAGATTTTCGGCAGAAAATATCGAGTTGCAGTAGATCTTAAGAGAGCTTAGAGAGTGCAAGTCGTGATAGCGTGCAAGTTTTGTGAGAATCTAGAGAAAACTTAATATCTTTTTGTCATCGCCGTATTCGCACTTATTCAGTTTTCCTTATAATTGCTTAAATTTAATAAACTATTTATTATAAACCACGTGGATTTAATTTAATTTTCTCTTTTTCACCACAATATATATATGAGTAGATATATATACATATAAGTAGAGAAACATCCTGCAATATTGATTAGCAATACCGACCAAAGCTATTTCTCGTTTATTTTATCAAATATTATTACTTTTTTTGGTTGAGCAAACAAATATTACGATTCTGGAATTGTATTATTTAAGGCATTGTTTTTAATATTCTTAGGCACTGAACATATTCATTGATATTCAGTAAGTTAAAAGTTACTTTTAAAACTGATCTATCGTTTCTTAGACAAAATGATTTTATTCTATCATATATACTATTTCTAATCTATTAAATATAATAAACAGTCCTATTGTAGCAATGTTTCTTTATATACGGGTGAATTGATGAACTGATAAACTGAAAAGAAGAACAGGTAATATGAACTGATAAACTAAGAAAAAGAACTCGTTTTATATTGCATGTACAAATCTAGAAAATTACTTTACATTCAATATTTGTAAAGATAAAGTATAAATTAAAATATTCTAGAAATTAGATGTTCTTTTATTAACATTATTAATTACTTAAACCTAGTAATTTAACAATTAATCAATATTGAACTATAATTTTTCATTTCCTATAAATTACAACTTTCTTTTACAGATTATCATTCTTCTTATCAAATTTTACGAGCTTTAATTTCTCTTATTCCATTAAATTTTATTAAGTTATCACAAACACGTTTTTGAAATAGCGCTTTTTACCGATTTTAACCTAAGATATAATAAAAGAAAGAACTTGATCGGTACTGCACGATTCTTTCTTGTAGAAAATGAAATTTAATAAAATGAATAAATGATATTAAAAATTAATTTTTTAAATGTTTTAACATACACCCTGTAATAAATAACTTCGCCCTGGAATAGGATAAAGTAAATCCGATCCAATATTGTTTAAATTTGCAGTCATTATTACATCAGCAGTAGAAGTATATGTGATAAGGGGCCTCTTCATAGATACAGTCCAAATCGGTTTATTTTCTTCAGGACTAGGTTTTATATACCACGCCTCTGGATCATATAAACAATTATATTTTATACACGTCATTGGTTTCCTAGTTTTCCTGAAAATCAGTAACAAATTATAAAAATTTGCTTTTTAAACAATATCGCTTTTATATCTTTATATATTTATTTTTTTGACATTCTAGTCTTGTATTATCTATTTAACCTCCAATTTAGTAAATAACAATTTACTATAGTAGAAGAATTAATATTTTATAAGAGAAAAATAATATGTTTTATTTCTTACAAACAATCCATCTGATTAAAGAGACATCTTAAACGTTTAAGTTCTTGACCAGAACTTGAAATTTTGTTACAAAAGCCCCAATTTCCAAGTGTTTCTGCTATACCAGTAGCATTATTTCTTGAACATTTGCTGTTATATTGCATTTTTGATAAAATTATATCAAAAATATTATAACTAAAATTAATGAAATTAATATGGTAAATAATGAACTCAAAAAATTTTTAATTTAAGATGTATAAAAATATATTTTACGAAAATATCAAAATATTATTATCGTCATAAATGTCTTTTGTTTCACTTCTGTAATTACAAACTTCATGTAACATTAAAACATTCATGTCATATCATAAAATGCAAGGTGTCAGATTTCAATCTATAAATGGAATTATAATATTCTATGTATACATACATATAATTCTTATAGAAATCTTTTAAAGCATTCATTATTCGAAAAAATGTTTCTGACGAATCGTCTGCTTCAAAAGGGAAGTAATTTGGTAAACTCGATTTAATCATAGGTGGAAGTATTTCAGCGATTTCAAAGTCAACTTAATATTTTTAAATAGAATTCTATATTTTTTTATACAGAAATCAATGCATCTCTTTATTTTCTATAAAAAAAGTATATACTCCATTATCCTATTTATATCTTCTTACATCTCCTTCATATTTTGCTTCGTCGTTTCTTTCTTTTCTAGACGACGCACAAACTTCACCACATCACACGAACCTCACTAATTTGATTAGAGTACGCTACTCTTATAGTCACATTTCATATGTGTTAGTTTCACCGATTATATATGTAGTAGTGGCTATTCTGCACATTATGGCAGGCTTAGTTAAATGGAAGTGGATTGTACAGCACTTGGAAAAAAAACAGGGAATCGGCTCATTGAAAGACAGACTCTTGTAGCTCATGGAGAGGAAGAAATTCGACAGGCCTAATATATGTAATCGTTTCAAAAATAGTTTAGTTTCGCAAAAATAGTTTAAGATAATTTACATATAGATAAGATAATACATATATGTTACCACCATTCGACCTTAATTCCCAAAATATACTTTTGGCATATATGTGATAATGAATTTGTATATATTTAATAATGAGTTAATTGATTTTTTTAACAGTGCGAAAAATAATTTATGACAAGCTGCATTAAATGAAAAGGCAGGTAAAATCACAATATTTTGAATGCTTCGAACCACAAGTCTATAATCGTGAGACCAAAGTCAATATCAGATATCTTCATAAATCTTCATCCAGATTTGGTACAGCTCAGTACACGTATTTTACCAAGAGTCATTTAATTATAGAATTTTTCTTATACCAAAATTTTACGAGGTATTTGTAAAAATAAGTTTTAAATTTTTTAAAGAGCGAACTTCACTGATTTTTTGATTTATAATGAGATACTCCAGATTATGTACAGTAGATGACATACTTCTTTTTTTAAATTCTGCATTAAGAATCATTTGTTTTTAAATTATTTCCAAATGACGACAACGTTTCTGGCTTTTGTCGACCAGGCATTTGTTTAACCTAAACTATAATATCAATATTTTTCTTTAAAAAGAATGAATTTTTAAAAATGTTTCAGTTATACATGTTTATATAAACAGACCGATCGACGTAAGGTGACCGACAACCCACAATGTTGAAGTACAGATATACATACAAGTATTTTCAATATTACATATTTTATATATTTTACAGATTGTGTTAGAATTTGAAGGGCTGAAGAAGTGTTTATGACGATGCGAGGATAAAAGAAGGAAGTGATGATGTGGGTAAGGTGAGGAAAGGTTGTGCGTTTTCGTCTCAAAGTCGCTGCCTAGACTCATCAGTGGGGCTGATGGCAGCGACTCCTTACCCCAGACGCTTGTTTTTCCAACTACTCGCTAAGGCTGGACGACGGTCACCCCCCATCCTAGCGGTGTTCCGCACTCTGCTTAACATCGAATATCGTTAGACTTCGACGCTAGGCGCACAGCCACTTGCGGCTTGTACGAGTGGGTGTTCGAAACTCGTACTCGAGGGACTCTAGGCCGCTACAGGTCTTTACCTGTGTTCACCGCAATCATAATGAATAATCGTTTGGAGGTAGAATGTCTTTGAGATGGAACTAGACATGGATCAAAAGGCAATGAGTGACAGTGAGAATGTATATTAAGGTACTTCTAGAAATGAACACTTCTATTCCTTTTTGTCGTATGTCAAATGCCCTATTTCTTAGGTCTCTTTTCAGAACGGATTCAGAGATTGCTTTTAAGAAATAACAGGCGCAACCGCGTAAGCATTTGGTATTACTGACTGACAGATTTCAATGTTTACGTGTTTACGGGAAATTAAAGGAAAGATACAAAATAAAAATTTGAAATAGAATTATTTTGCTGACAATTACATGTTGATTGTGAACTGCTCACTACCAATAATACAACAATAGTTAACATCCTCTACATGAAAAAAATCAGCTCTGATGCATTTCAAGCAATATGAGAGTTAAAAAAAATGGACAGTGAAAAATTAAATGAATTAGTTTGCTACTAATATTATGATTTAAATCACACAAAATATAGTGTATTTTCAATCACTAAAACTAAAGATAAAATTTAGCATGAAATAGGGAAAAAGTCAGGGAATTCAGGTAAGTAATTACACTACTAGGTAAGTAAAAACTACTACAATATATTTCAATTTAAAAAATTATGGTAACTACTACAATATATTTCAATTTAAAAAATACTTTGATATAAACTTTAATATTTATATATATAAAATAAATTATAGATCATTATTATATATATATATGTATATATATATATTGTTAAAATGATAAGTCCTGTGAAATCTGGATTTAAATTCAATCGTTTATCATACATATACGAAATTTTTACGCGATAGTGTCCTAAAGGCATTCTTCACTACTCTTCTTGCGTGTGATAAATGACTAAAACTCTTTTTATGAAATTGTGAATTGGAAACTGGAAACCAAGAAATAATCTTAAAATATAATTCTTTAAGGAGAAAAGCTCTGTCGATTACAATAATAAATGGCAGTTTTATACTAGTGTCAGATAGAACTTCTATAATCTGAAATATGAAGTTATGACCTGACTATGACTTTGTCTAATTTGCAAAGACAGCACTGTTTTTTCTGTCAGGCATCGATATCTATTGCTATAATTTATAGATTTAGCTTCTCTCTATTGCTAACAGAATAATTAATCATATTTTCTTATAATTAAAATATAATGACCCATTATTTGAAAGATGTGTTTTCCATCTATTGCATCTAAAATTCCAAATCAAAATTCATCCGCAAATTTTTCCCGCTGTTCTGTCGATAGTATCGACATATATTATATCGACTTTATTATATTCGCAGTACTTCTGCATGTTTCTTCTATAATTTTTTTGATTGTATATTCACTCAATCGATAAAAAAAAATTGTCTCTTGTTCCTAAATATCTGCACAAAAGTTAATTTATCAAATTAATCATGTTATTATTTATTCACTTATAAGAAAACATGGAACAATTTACTGAAAGTATTTAGTAGACCCGCAAAAAAGAACGAAATAAAAAAAAGTTAAAGAGCAGAAAATGAAAATATGAAGAAAAAAATGTCGTTTTTGATGTAATATTATAATGAATGACAGATCTCAACATCCAGAAATATTGAAGATGAATTTGTGAGCGAATATTAACCAGGCCGCCCGTTCTTAGACGTGGGAAGACTTCCTCACCTATTTCGTAGAAGAGACCACTCGAGGTTAAGGATTATGGGCCGATTCCGATGTCTATGTTTATAACCAATGCATATAAACCGAGCTAGGATATCCGAACGAAGGTTGGACCGAGAATGGTACCCAAACTAGAGCACGAAGCCAGGAGGCATTTCTTCTGCAGAATGTCGCCGAGATCGCACGTCCAAGCCAGTCTTCAGTTTAACAATAAAATATACATTTTCTTATTAACGGGAATTACCGTGTAAAATTATTGCCTACAAATTAAATAACGAAAATTCATAATGTATCAAATTCAACAATATCAGTACCAAACAAGTCATGAATTCACCGTTCCAAAAAATAGTAAAAAACAAATAAAAGAAAAGCACATTACAGTAACAATTATGATGGATTATTTAATAAATAAATTATTTAATAAATATATTTAATAAAAAGTCAATAAAAGATCGAATTAGATGATATCGATAATTTTTTTTAAATATAGCAAGCACAATTAAAAAAAATTTCGAAGTATAATGTGGGATAGAATATTCTCGGAAAAGGCTCGGAACTTTCTTCAGTGCCCAAGAACAAGACAATTGTCGCCTGTGGAGTGCCACTTGGGATGTTTAGAGCGAAGGCTGGACCTGAGAATATTTGTTTAAGTCGCCCAAGCCTAGGTCTTAAAAATATTAAAAATGTGTGAGAATGTGTGAGAATAACGAAGCTTCAAGAAGGCACATCGCAGAAAGAATTAAGACTTCGTAGAATAAAAAGATAGAGAGTCGCAAGTCAGAGAGGATAATTCTAGAGAGTGTAGCGAGTTTTAATCTTAATCTTTTGTCTGTTTACCGCAGCATTAAGACTTTTATTCCTGTAAATCCCTATTTTAATAAACGTCTAACTTTATTTAACAACATATGTAGGCAATAATTTTACAATGGAATTTCCGTTAACAACAAAGCGTGTATTTCCTTACTGAAGACTGGTTCGGACGTGCGATCTTGGCGACGTTCTCCTGACAGAGTGTCGCCTGGCTTCGTGTCCTCGTTCGGGTATCCTCCTCGGTCCAACCCTCGTCCGGATACCCTAGCTCGGTTTACAGGCGTCGGTCATAAACATTGGAATCGGCCCATGGTCCTTAATCTCGAGTGGCCTCTTCTACCGAATAGCCAAGGAAGTCTTCCCACGCCTACGGGCGGCGTGGCTAACATTTGCTCACACATAGGATAAAATATTCCTTTATTTTATTCCTACAATAATATATTTCGTTAATAAAAAGAGAAATTTTTTCCATTGTTGTCAACATAGTTTAAAGAAATTATTATTTATTAAAATTGCTTCAGCAATTAATATAAATATTAATTTATAAATTATAATATTTGTAAATAAAATTATATTTACATATCTTACACTACCAGTTTTTCTGTCGGTATTATCATTTCCCTAAATTTTAATAGTGTTATGCTTCTTAATTGTATTTTCTATTTTATATAATTATATGCAATATAGTTACGTCTGCTTCATTAACAATAATTTTATTTGTTAACGTGGAATATATAACTCAGTATTGAGAGAAAGGTGGTTTTTGTTTTTAGTATCTTAATTT